TAATGCGAATGTTTTTGTGTTTAATGTTGTCCCAGAGGTCTCTTAGGCTGTCTTCATTTCTTTTCATTCTTTTTGCTTTATTCTGTTCCACAGCAGTGAATTTCACCATTCCGTCTTCCAGGTCACTTATCTGTTCTTCTGCCTCAGTTATTCTGCTATTAATTCCTTCTAGTGTACTTTTCATTTTAGTTATTGTATTGTTCATCTCTGTTTGGTTGTTCTCTAATTCTTCTAGGTCTTTGTTAAACACTTCTTGCATCTTCTAGATCTTTGCCTCCATTCTTTTTCCGAGGTCCTGGATCATCTTCACTATCATTATTCTGAATTCTTTTTCTGGAAGGTTGCCTATCTATCTCCACTTCATTTAGTTGTTTTTCTGGGGTTTTATCTTGTTCCTTCATCTGCTACATAGCCCTCTGCCTTTTCATCTTGTCTGTCTTTCTGTGAATGTGGTTTTTGTTCCACAGGCTGCAGGATTATAGTTCTTCTTGCTTCTGCTGTCTGCCCTCTGGTGGATGTGGCTATCTAAGAGGCTTGCGCACGTTTCCTGATGGGAGGGACTGGTGGTGGGTAGAGCTGGCTGTTGCTCTGGGGAAGAGCTCAGTAAAACTTTAATCTGCTTGTCTGCTGATGGGTGGGGCTGGGTTTTCTCCCTGTTGGTTGTTTGGCCTGAGGCGACCCAACAGTGGAGCCTACCCGGGCTCTTTGGTGGGGCTAATGGTGGACCCTGGGAGGGCTCACACCAAGGAGTACTTCCCAGAACTTATGCTGCCAGTGTCCTTGTCCTCATGGTGAGACACAGCCACCCCCCACCTCTGCAGGAGACCCTCCAACACTAGCAGGTAGGTCTGATTCAGTCTCCTATGGGGTCACTACTCCTTCCCCTGGGTCCTGATGGACACACTACTTTTTGTGTGCCCTCAAAGAATGGAGTCTCTGTTTCCCCCAGTCCTGTTGAAGTCCTGCAGTCAAATCCCACTAGCCTTCAAAGTCTGATTCTCTAGGAATTCCTCCTCCCGTTGCCAGACCCCCAGGTTGGGAAGCCTGACGTGAGGCTCAGAACCTTCACTCCGGTGGGTGGACTTCTGTGGTATAAGTGTTCTCTGGTTTGTGAGTCACCCACCCAGCAGTTACGGGATTTGATTTTATTGTGATTGCGCCCCTCATACCGTCTCATTGTGGCCTCTCCTTTTTGTCTTTGGATGTGGGGTATCTTTTTTGGTGAGTTCCAGTGTCTTCCTGTTGATACATTAACTTTTATTGTCAGGATAAATTGCATGTTTTAAAGATGAGTGATCCTTGTACTTTGTGTAGGGCCTTTCACTTTTGTCCAAGGTTTGAAACTGTGCCTGGTTTATGGTGACTAAAATTACCTCTTGCTGTGTGGTGGCTTATATAGTAGTTTCCATCTCAATCACACGTTTTGTCTGAGGATAAATTCCCAGTCCATTTGTCAGACCAGCCAGCTCCTGAAGGTGCAGGGAAAACGGGGATGGACCTGCAGAAGCCACTATCCTCTTTGTGGAAAGGTCTGCATAATTTCCCTTCAGAGGTTGAACAGACGAACTAATTTAGAGTTTAGTAACACATTCTTTGTTGATAAATTTATTCAGCACCAATCTAGGCTATCTGTTCCAGGGGACTGAATGCAGCTTAAATAGCCACCAGAGGAAGCTCTCACTTGTATATAAGACTTGCACCTTAAATTTTGATTTGGCCTCATATGGAGCAACCTTCTGTTTCACCATGTTGATCGTGTCCATTGCCTGTTTTCTTTTTACTCCCTCTTCCTGATCATCTATAGGCTTGCTACACAACTCTTCAAGTGGTGGCTTTATGGAATCAATACTACAGTAGGTTATTGCCAGCCCTTACGAAACAGGAGTACTACTGACTTTTACTACTTAAGAGCCAAAACTGGACTCTAGTTTTAGATACAATTAAATTTCAAATCACCTTCAAACAATGGTATAAATTTCTTAATGTCCTAAAATGTTTGACAGTACTGAAAAAACCCCCACAAAACACACCACATAATCTCTTCTTAGTTCTTGGAGATGCTGTCTGTTCTATAGCACCAAGAAAATCACTCTCATTTTCATATTCAGGTTCTAATTTTTTTTCTCATTGTTTTAGGAAATTTGGGGCTCAAGGATCACGACTTACGGGAGCAGGATGGGGAGGCTGCACAGTATCGATAGTACCTGCTGACAAGCTGTCCAGCTTCCTAGCAAATGTGCACGAAGCTTATTACCAGAGGAGCAATCGAAGCTTAGTGCCTGAGAAGCAGAGTTTGTTTGCTACCAAACCTGGAGGTGGAGCTTTGGTTTTCCTTGAGGCCTAAACTATTTAGAGCATTTAGGAACTGGCAGGACTTCTATGCCACAGCAAATTAATCCTCTTTCTGTTTTGTATTATGATGAATGGTTGCTATTATCAAGATGTATTTCGAAAGAAATGCTTGAAAGCTCCCTATGCTTCATAATGATTATTTTTCCATCTTAAAATATGTTTTCTACCAATAAGAGCCAAAATTATGCTTGGCCAGATCTCTTAAGATAATTTACTGGATGTATTGATTTCAAGATTTTTAAAAACAAATGGTAAAAGACCATCAATACTGACCTCATGGATTGTACTTGAATTAAACATACATTCTTAAATACAGTTTATTTCTGGTTCCTCTTGGCATTCTTCTTCCTCAAGGTTGAAGTCTTCTGTTGTTGATGATGATAGTGATGCCAGAAGTTGTCTCTCAGTTCGGGCTTCAGAACGCTATTAAAATAATACGTTGTTAAGGATTCACAGATTTTCCTGGATACTGTATACTTGAAAGTGAGATTCTCCCAGTTATCAAGATGAGGAGGATCACTTAATTTTTTTTTTTTTTTCCAAAAGATGGATTTAGGAAGAAAATCCCAGGCTCATTTAATTTTTTTTTAACCATGTGATATCATATAAACAATCAATTTCAATTCTTTTGGCCCTGAGCTTTCTCTGTCATAATAGAGAAGCTTAGATAAAAGACACTTCAAGTTTTTATCTCTATTCACATTGACATAGAGAATTATCTGGATGTTAATTCAGATAATTCAATTTGTTCATGGAATTTACTTTCTTCCCACTCTAAACTACCTTTTCTCTAATCCAGGAGGCATGTTTACTATTCTAGGAAAACCCATCTGTGACTTGCATCTTTGTTGTGTGTCTAGCAAACTTGTTTGTATGTGTGGACCAATGTAGGGCAGGTGTGAGGCATGAGGGTGAAACTATGAAAAGGCTGAGTGTGGGTTCTGGGATTGGGTAGGGGTATTGGTGGGTGCCTGTATATGTTTGTCAAAATGGGCAGCAAGTTTGGCCATGTGGTGATGGTAAATGAGTGGCTCTCTCTCACGGATAGACTACAGGAAGGCTTTCCTGAATTATATGAAGATTTAAACTGAAAAGCATTTTGTGACATAGTCAGATAATTGAGAGACCAGCAGTCATGTGGCATGAATTATCCAGAAGTTTATCACAATTTTCTATTTTTCTATGATTGAGTGGCACATTAATGAGCAAAAAGCCTGGATATCATCATCTTGAATCTCAGTTTCAGAGAAGCTGAGGCAAAGCTGGTTGTTACATTTCTCAAAGGACAGCAGTCATATAAAGTACTAGGAAATCCATTATTCTATTCTAAAATGAAGTTCTGGTGCATTTTCATTCTTAGCAGAAAGGTAAGTACTTGAGAAAGCTGAAGTCCAATTTGTTAATTTCGAATTTTAAAGATTGATTTCAAATGATAATCCTTTGCTTTTTAAAACCTTTTCATTTTCCACAGAAGATCTGTGGCCAATTGATATATAATTCTTCGAAGATGCCTGGATCACTGTGAAAAAAAAAAAAAAAAGGCACTTGCCTTTAAATTTTTCACCGTGAGATACCTTCTTTACAAAATAGGTAAGTAAAAATTTCTAGTGCACACTCTGCTTTGGAGGACATAGTCGTTCTAAGCCAGAATCTACTCCCATATTTGTCTTGCTGTCTGGCTTGAAGAAAAGAACTATTTTCCAATGAAGCCATCACCAAGTGTTATTCTAGAAATTATGAGAGATATCGAACTTGCCTGGAAAGGATGGGGCTAGGGCCACTGGAAAAAAGCTTCATGTAGAAGATGGAATTTGAGCAGGGCCTTAAAGGATGAACAGAATTTGAAATCTGGGGAGTAGGCATGGCAGATAAGCAAAGTATATGATTATGGGTAAACAGGATATGCTGGGAAGACTCAGTGGGAGTGAAGGGTTTGACTTGGGATATAGTGATTGGCTATACTGGCTGGAGCCAGCTTTTGAAGAGCTCCAAGTCCAGCATTTAGACCAAGGGTTGCAAACCAGCAGACCATAGGCCTCATCTGGTCTGCAGATTTATTTAGTTTGGCCTCTAGGGCTATTTAAAAACTTGAGTCCTAAACAGGAATTTTACAGAAGAATCTGGATTACAAATGGTGGAAGATCTGATAACACTTTGGCCTCTATTCCTGCAGAGCCACAATGAACTAGAGGTGAGGAAGTAGTTGCCTTGTTTCACTGAGGCACAGACTCTCCAGTGGGCTATGGTGTCCATAGCTCCTGTAGTTTCTCTAAGACTCAGGCCATTTACTATTTACCAGCTGAGGTCACTTGCCCTTTACCAGTACACTTGCAGTTTTCTTATATTAAATAAATATTTCTCTGTACCCATGTCTCTAGCAGTAGCAGTTAAGAGAGACCATGAAAAAATGGGAGAAATAATTTTTTTGTGGAATAAAGAGTAGTACTATTTATTTAATATTAAACACTCAATATTTGTTTAATATTAAACACCCAACAATATTACCCCTTTCCATTACCTTTCTGGCTCATAGGAATTTGGTTAGATTATTTGACCCCTGTTTTTGACATTACATCAGTAGCCAATGAGGATTACTCTAGATTTTTGCATGGAAGCCTGACATGCTGAAAATGAAAAGCTCTCTCTTATTCCTTACCTCAGATTGTCCAATTTTCAGATTTACTGTACACTATTTTCTACATGTTCTTTCTTGTTGGAAGGGAGGAAGGACCTTTAGATTTAATAGGACTGCCTGTAAGTTAAGGTGGAGCAGAAGGGAAGGGGACAAAGAAAACTGGAAAGATGGGACCATGTCCTTCCTTTTCTTTCTTTCTTACACTTGAGTACTGTTTAGAACCTTATCATTTCTTACATTTCTGTTAATTAAGGGCAAGAATCATTCATCTAACACAGTAGTTGGAATCCAATATATTTTTGTTGAATTATTAACGGGAAATAAAATATGACTTCAAATACCAATAATTTTCTATTAGTTTGAAATTCTGCATTTGGAGGTTTTAAGTTGCATAAAATGCTTCTGGTCAGAAGCAAGGGACGGGGATGAGTGAGCATGAGGTTGTCACTAATACATGAGAGAGAGATTACCCTAAATGTGCATGTGGATGATTAAATAACAAGAATGTATTCCATCCTGCCACTGTAACTTGGATGTGAAACCATACATTGCTTATTAAATATTTTCCAGTCTATATAAGAGAAGCTAGAGAGAGAATTCTCAATTATTTCCAGAAAAAACTTACCAGTTTTTGTAGGAAATTCTCAAAATCATTCTTAACTTCGTAAGGTTTCTTAGTAGCCTTTGCTTGGAGCCTAATCATGAAAGAAAGAAAATTGGTAACCAAACTAATTGTTTTCATACTGACACCAACTAAGAGCCACGATTTACGAAGAGTTTAATATGCTGGGCATTTGCCACCACTTTACATATATTAATTCAGTTACTCTGAAAACAATCTTAGGAAGTAGGTACTACTATTATCCTATGTTATAGATGAGGAAAGAGGCTCAGATAGGTTAACTAACCTGTCCACAGTCATACAGCTAGCAAGTAATAGAGGATTTGAACCCAAGCAGTGTGACTTGCACCCTCTATTCTAACCACTGTGCGACACTGCATCCCAGCAGTGAAGCATCCTCTTCAGTGAGATGGTTCACACAGTAAGTATTCCCTCAACTAATTCCACTCACTGGGCTCCAGTGCAGATTTTAAGATGAGTCACTGGGGAGGGAAGAGGAAAAGGGACTGGCCTGGAAAATATCTGTGGGAGAGAGAGAAAGAGAGATGGAAAAGGATAAAGGGTGAGAGGGGCGCTTACTAGACTGTAAGCTCATCAGGGGTGGGGATCCAGGAATCTATCATGATTTCTGTCACCACATACTCATTCAAGAAATATTTTTAAGGAGTTGAATAGTTGAATTGAGGAGGCACCAGGAAACTTTCCAGAGATCTACGGATAAAGACAGAAGCAGAGGTAGGCCAGGCAAGGAACGATAGGAACTTGGGACAAGGGAGAGACAGCAAGAGAAACACAGATGAGAGAAAGAAAAATGAAAAATGGTATAAGACTATTGATTTCACTGGCAATTTTCAAGTGAAACATTTGAAATTATTCTGTGAAATCTGTAGGAAGTGAAATTTTCTAAAAATTCCAAATACACTTTGCTGAAGCATGAACTTTGGATTAGCTAGACCCCTATAAGGCCTGCTCTAGGTTTCTCTAGGATTCCTCCAGGGGTCCCCTGAGGGCACCCAGTAGGGCTACCTCTGAGGGGCCTCTTGCGTTCGTGTTCTCTGACTAACAAATACTCCCTTACTCTTTCTCTACTTTATCTCTGCCAATTTTATCTCCTCAACCTAGGTTTTCTCCTCACCTCTTACTACCCTTTTGGACTATTCTTCCCTGCTTTTCTAAAATCTGGCTCTGAGTCTCTTCCTCATAGTCCTATTTAAATATCCCTGGTGCCCTTTTTTCAGTAACACACTCTTAGAATCTTCTTGACTTCAAGTCATCCTGAGACTGGTTCATCTCACTGTGTTGAAATCAATCCATCTTCCAACCCACTTTTATTTTTTTAGAGTAATTCTGTTTTCAATGCTGTGTTAATTTCTGCTGTATAACAAAGTGAATCAGCTATACATATATCCCCATATCTCCTCCCTCTTGCGTCTCCCTCCCACCCTCCCTATCCCACCCCTCTAGGTGGTCACAAAGCACCGAGCTGATCTACCTGTGCTATGCAGCTGCTTCCCACTAGCTATCTATTTTACATTTTCCAACCCACTTTAATTTACAGTTCCCCTCTTCTTTTGTTTTTAATAACAGCTTTGTTGATATGTTACATAACCTAAAATCCACCCTTTCAAAGTATACAGTTCAGTAGGTTTTAGTATATTCACAAAGCTTTGCAAGCGTCACCACTACCCAATCTCCCATCTTTCTATCTTTCCTTTCCATGACTATCTTTTTTTGAAGATTACAGATAGAAACTTGGACACTGTGCCTATAAACTTAACAGGGACGTGGGAGTTATATACCCAAATGAGTCTTTTCCCCTTCACTTTCTCCAGCAATGTGCCATCGCATAAAACATATTTGAGTGCTTCTTGTGAGTTGCTCTGAAAACCAGTCTGCATCCTTTTGCATATCTTGAGTGGTGAGAAATCCTGTCCTCTATAGATTTGATTTTGGGGAACTTGTAAAAGTCATCTGGAGTCAGATCTTATGTTGTGAAGGGGAAAGCTGGGTGATAACATTTTTAGTGAAAAATGCAGTAAGATTTTAAAGTAATGAGTTGCATTTTCTTATGTGACTGGGAGACTAGCTTTATAAGTTCCAAAATAGCAATTAGAAGTATGGCAGCATGACTGGCGCAAAATTGTGGTTTCCCACAGGGGTTTATTTGAAGGGCTGTACTCATCTGACATTTATTCTTGCCTATGTGGATGTACTGGAAGAAGTGGGTTAGTCCCAACACTTTATAGTTTTGTTTTTTACACTGTAATAAAATAAACAAATATGCCCAACTTTCCTTGTTTCAATGGGGTACAATGTTTGTATGTATAGGGGAAGCAGCAGGGGCAGAAAGGGACAAAGAACTAGCCTGAGACCAGCTAAATAGGTTGTTGTTCTAGTTTACATCTTCCCATGGTTATGAGTCTATATTTAAAAGGCCCTCAGCTTAAGTCCTATGTCTGGTAGAGTAAAAGGAGATGATGATAATGTTTAGCAATTAATTAAATTAGAGTAAGTAATTATGTGGATAAAAAAGTTAGTGTTACTCTAGATGAACTACGGAGTAGAAAACTTCTGCAGATATTCCAGTTAATGAATTTTTACATATTAAACCTATTGTGGTTTATGTAACACATTTGTTCAATTAAAATGTTTTTAAGCACTACAAGTTGAATAAGAAACAAACCTATGAAGCTCCTTGTCAACTTTTTCCTGTCGCTGTCTTAGGAGTTTTATTTCTTCATTAATTAGGTGCTTTTCTCTATAAAGTCAAAGTTTGGAGTTAAATTTTAAAATAAAGCAGGCAATTCTCATTGAGAAAGAATAAATCAACAATTTGCTGCCTTCCACATATCAGTAAAGGTCCATTACAAAACAGTTCTTCAGCAACCCCTCCCAATGCACCACGTGGTATGAGGAATCCCCCAGCACACTGCCCCTTATAAACATGTGCCAAAGGCATCACCCATGTCAGCTGAGTACAGCCTGGACTCCACCTTGCTGTTCCCACATGGGCCCTCTTACAAGGCGCCCACCCCTGTTCTTCCCAGTGAAAATAGGAAGTCTAAGGGCTCTGTGTGTGTGTCTGTGTGCGTGCATGCGCATGTGTGTATGTCAGTGGGAGGGGAGTGGGGCCCCAGGGAAAGTAGAGGCTCAGACTTCTGTCCTGCCTGCTGGATAGGATAAGGCTGGCTGCTCTTCTGTTTACCTCTCTTTGATGTGTTTCCGGAACAGCATCAGGTACCCAAAGGGTAGGATGCCCATCCTTTCTCCCCTTTAAGGCAATAAGACAGCTAGGCAGTGACCTTGATATCACAGACAGAAAAATTGGACCCTGCCAATTTGTCCTCATAAAAATCGATGGACATCCTCATTAAGCCATTTCTCACTTCCTGGCACATAAGAATACCATAACTGGCCAAGAGTAATCATTTTAGTTAAGCACAAAACACTTAAAATGTTTCCCCAAGAAAACGTTTCCGAAAAGAACTCCTTGCCTTGCTTTCCTCCATATCACCCCTGCTGCCACCCCAGCTACAAGGAACTCCTTCTATTACAGACAACCTTTCTGTTCTTCTTCCAGGGCTTATCTTTGTAAATGAACAATACTCCAATCTCTCTTCCTGGGAACTCTCTCCTGGTCTCTCCACGTTGGTGTGCATCCCCCCACCCAGACCACAGGAAAAGCTCCCTTCCTTTTTTCAATCCCTGACATGTGCCGTGTCTCCGTGGTTACAACATACATTCTTGACACCTACCTGAAAAGAATCTCCGAGTCTATAAGATGCTCAGAGGCAACTCTCCTCGTCAGTAAAATAAGAAGGTTAGTTGTAGATAATTTCTATGATTGCTTACAGCTCTAAAGGATTCTATGATTTTATATTTATCAATAGTATGGAGTCAACTTACATTCTAAAATCCTTTTGGTTGTTTGCAAATTGTCTTTTTGCCTCCTTTAGAATATCACAATAAGTTGGAGCAGGTGGCGTGATAGGCTTATGGTTAAGGAAAGATTTTCAACTAGGAAAACTTGAGAGAGGTTAACAGTATCCTTCACAGGGGGACTCAGGGAGCCATCTTGCCTGGGCTTCCCAGTCATGAAGGGTCTCAAGTATAAACACGAATATTATGTCTGGCGTTGCACTGAAAGGACCAAAAGGAGACAATACCCATCTGACTACTTTAAACTTATATCCCATTATCTGGACCACACCATCCATAGCGCACAAGGACTTAGTAGTTTCATAAGTCCCATAATTACTATTTTCATGTTTTTTTGGTGTGCTTTACAGGCAGCGATTTGTTAAATGTAAAATTTTAAATGTACCTTTTGTAACTCTGTTTAGACATTTCTTCATTTCTACATATACTGAGAACTTCAAAGTCTCTTGACTTCTGAGAGGCTCTGGAGGTGACTGGCAGCATATGTTGGCTGCCTCAGCCCAACCTCTGCTAACTGCATGGAAAAGGATGACAGGCAGAAGATAAAAATGTTCTGCTAATGTGGCTGGGGCTCTTCTGCTGTCTGTTTCTGGTACAGCCTGTGGCTGTGTCCCTAACACTGGTCTTAACCCATGTCTGTGTCTGGAAAGCAGATGCTTCCCTCTGAAGTGGCAACTGGTAAATGACTCAAGGAGGCAGCCCTCATCTTGTGTTAAGACCTTAGCCTCATTGGTAAACTAGGAGCTCTTAAACCTCTGCAGTCACCAAGATGCAGGAATGAGTCTGTCCTCCCATGGTCCCACTCTCCAACCTGAACCACACTTCAGTATTACCTCCATCTTTCTATGAATGCAATTTGCTCATTTAAAACACATTTATGCTCCCTTCAAGGATGTCCTTGATACTCATTTTAATCTTAATTATCTGGTATAAGAAAGTTAGGAGAAGCTCAGTAGATCTGGTCCCTGGGACAAGACCACATAGGCACTTAACCTTATGACCTTAATTTCCTGAGTATTATATCTCAGTTGAGATAACCAGAAGGAAAAATATGAATGGCTCCACAACAAAGATTCTCACAATAAACTTGAATAAAATTTATATCTTTCCTATGACACTCTAAACTACTCAGAAAGTATCTTCAATCACTTATAATTTGAATATTAAGGTCTTAGAATCAAGGCAAAGAACATTTGTTTTCTGTACACTCCAGATGACTTTCTCAGCAATGCCACGGTGATAAATTCTCTCTGCCAGCCATAGAACCTGTTTAAGAAGTTTCCTTAACAGCATCACTAAGTTGTTGGGAAGCAGTGTTGATAGCAGACCATACTCCATCCTACTAAGCACAGAGTTTGCGAGGGTCTGGATGATTATGTTATCCTGAATAGGATAGGAATTCTCTGAAATAGATTTTACAGAGAAGTCCACTGCTCTTTATGATGCATTCCAAGTTTACTTTAACCCCTTCATCATAGCTAGGTTTTAGAGTATGGTTTTCCTTAAAGAAAGAGATAAGCCTGGAGGGGGATCAAGATGGCAGAGGGGAGAATGTGGAGCTCACCTTCCCCCACAAACACATCAAAAATACATCTACATGTGGAACATTTCTCACAGGAAACCAGCTGGAGACTGGCAGAAGATCTCCTATATAACCAAAGCTGCAAGAAAGATCTCCACATAACTGAGTAGGATGGGAAAAAAGGAATCAGGACAGGACTGGTGTCCCTGGGAGGGATCTATAAAGGAGAAAAGGTCTACGTGGGCAGACCCTGGGGAGCCCCCTTGCCTGCTGGGAAATCCGCTGGGACAGATAGAGGGGCTGGAGAAGCCCAGACTCTACTTGTGAGGAGTGCGTGTGTGCTGGCTTGCTGACAATCAGGACAGAGAGAGACTGGCAGCTGGCTTGCCACACTACCCAATATCAGGTGTGCATTGGGCAGGGCTACAAATACGTGCAATGGCTAAGCGCTGAATCTCTGACAGACAGACCCTGGGAGAGGACTCAATCTAGCTTAGTGGAGATAGCTCGGAGGGCCTGGGGTATAGTCTGGGCCAGACTGCAGAGCTCTTTGTCACTGCTTGCATGGCAGGGGTGAGTCCGGCTGTGGCGGATTTTGTCAGCGCCTGCAAAGGGTGATGCCACAGAGATGCTCAGGGAGTGCTGAGTCTCAGATGGAGAGCCCCTGGGTAGAAGTATGCAGTGGTTGGTTTCCCAAAGGGAGTTCACTGGCTCTGCCCACCCCACACCACAACTTGGAGCAGCATCTGGCACGGACAGGTCCTGGGAGAGGTCTGGCACAGAGGCAGCCTAGTTCTCAGGCAGCAGCACAACCACCTTGATTCCTGCAGCCACAAAGCCTCAGCCCCCAGCACCAGCCCATTCCACACCACAGCCTAGCACTAGGTCTGGGATGAACACAACAGGAAAAGAGATGTGGCATTTGGCTGCTTCTAGACAGAACTGCAGATGTCTGCATGGGTAGTGCATAGATTCGCTGTAACGACACGGGCCTCAGTTGCTTCAGCAGTCACCTCCTTTGGATCAGGTCACGCACTCAAGGCCAAAGGAGACTGAGTGAACCTGACCCTCAGGGCTTTTACTCTGACAACTGGGGAGCAGACACCACCGCTGACAGGGCTGTAACAGCCACAGAGCAAGGAGGAGGTCCCACCCAGAGCACAGGCTCTGGACACCACACCAGTTACTCCCCTATCAAGGAGATAACAACTAGCACACTCTGAGGAAAGATGTGGCTGGTACCCATACTGAAACCAGCCCTCGCACCAGAATATTGGATTCACAGTCTACACAGGGGTGCTTCCAAATAAAAATATCCCTTCAAGACCACAGTAGATAACTGTTTCTCCTAAATTCATAGAGACAGAGAAAGTTAAGTAAAATGAAAAAGCAGAGAAACTACTCCAAATTAAAATAAAAGAAATCCCCTGAAAGAACAAATAATGAAACAGACCTCACCAGTCTACTATACCCTGAGTTCAAAAAGGAGGTGATAAAAATGCTAAAGGAATGAAAAGATTGATAGAAATGCAGATCACTGTAGTAAGAAACTAGAAAATATCAAATCAAAATTAGACAACTTAGTGAGATAAAAACCAATCTAGAAGCAATGAATAGACGAAATAACACAGAAGAATGAATATGTGATCTGGAGGACATACTAATGGAAATCACCCAATCAGAAGAGCAGACAGAAAGACAAATGAAAAAAATGAAAGCAGCATACAAAATCTATAGGATAATATAAAGCATGCCAAACTATGCATAAGCTGGGTTCCAGAAGGAAAAGAGAGAGAAAAGGGGATTGAAAGTGTATTTGGAGAAATTATTGCTGAAAACTTCCCAAACCTAAAGGAAACAGATATCCAAGTACAAGAAGCACAGAGGATCCCAAACAAGATGAACTCAAACAGATCCACACCAACACATATCATAATTAAAAAGGCAAAAGTTAAAGATAAAGAGAGGATTCTAAAAGCAAGAGAAAACAAAGAGTCAGTTACGTGAGAACCCCCATAAGGCTATCAGCTGATTTCTCTGCAGAAACTTTGCAGGTCAGGAGGGAGTGGCATGATATATTCAAAGTCCTGAAAGGGAAAACCTGCAACTCTACCCAGCAAGATTATCATTTAGAATAGAAGGAGAGATAAAGAATTTCTCAGACAAGCGAAACCCAAAAGAATTCAGCAATACTAAACCTATCCTAGAAGATACATTGAAGGGTCTTCTCTAAACAGAAAAGAAACAAGAATCTATAGGAAAGGGACAGTCACAATAGAAAAGGCAAATACATAAAAGGATTGAAGATCACTTAAGCCAGTACATAGATGAAAAAACAATCAAAAATTTTTTGTGAAAGTGATTATGACGACAATTAGCAGCAAAAGGATAAGATGTAAAATAGGACATCAAAATCAAAGAATGTGGAGGAGTGAACTATAAAAATGTGGATTGTTTAGAGTGTGTTTAAGCTTGTATGACTATCAGTTTAAAGCAAATAGATATAGTTAGGGGTCAACATACTTGAAAACCAGGGTAACCACAGATCAAGAACATACCATAGGTTCACAAATACGAAAAAGAAAGGAACTCAAGCATAATACAAAAGAACCATCAAAGCACAAAAGGAAAAACAAAAAGAAGAAACAAAGAACTACAATACTGACAGGAAAACAAGGTTTAAAATGGCAATAAGTACATACCTATCAATAATTACTTTAAATGTCAGTGGAACAAATGCTCTGATCAAAAGACACAGAGCAGCAGATTGGATAAGAAAACAAGAACCTACAATATGTCACTTACAAGAGACTCACTTCAAGGTGAAAGACACACACAGAAAGTGAGAAGGTGGAAAAAGATATTTCAAGCAAATGGAAATGACAAGAAAGCAGGGGTAGCAATACTCATATATCAGACAAAATAGACTTTAAAACAAAGTCCATAAGGAGGGACAAAGAAGTACATTATATTATGAAAAAGGGACCAATACAAGAAGAGGATATTACACTCATTAATGTGCATGCACTCAATATAGGAACACTGAAAGATATAAAACAAATACTAACAGACAGAGAGGGAGAACTTGACAGGAATACAACAGTAGGGGTCTTTAAAACCCCACTGACATTAATGGACAGATATTCTAGACAGAAAACCAATAAGGCAACAGAGGTCCTAAATGATACAATAGACAAGGTGAACTTATTTGATATCTACAGGACCCTACATCCAAAAAACCCAGAATACACATTCTTTCCAAGTGTGCATGGAACATTCTCTAGGATAGACCACATATTAAGTCACAAAACAAGCCTCAACAAATTTAAGAGGCTAGAAATTATTTCAAGTATATTTTCTAACCACAATGGTATGAAACTAGAAATCAACCACAAAAAGAAAAATGGGAAAAGAACACATGGAGACTAAACAAGATGCTATAACAAACCAATGGGTCAATAATGAAATCAGAAAATACTTCAAGACAATTGACAATGAAAACACAACTTTACAAAAACTATGG